GTCATAACCAGGCATTGGGGAACACTAGAAGAAATCAGAATCTGGTCCAGTTTATAAGAAGCAGTATTAAAATCCAATACAGTAAAACCTTGTGTTGCAAGTAACTTGCTCGTGAGTGTTCCGCAAGATAAGCAAATATTTCTAATACATTTTAACTTGATAAAAGAGCAATGTCTTACAATGTGAGTAGCACATGATGCTGAATGCCACATGATCATAAGTGAGCCAATGGTTCTTCTCTCTCTCTCTCTCTCTCTCTCTCTCACTGTGCGATTGTGGGTGATGGTCTCCCATGCTTGGATGCTCAGTCTCAGGCCACGGTGTTTGGCAGAAATCAGTGGTTTTTCAGAACATTAGAAAGTGCCCATAACTGGGGGCGCCTGGGTGGCGCAGTCGGTTAAGCGTCCGACTTCAGCCAGGTCACGATCTCGCGGTCCGTGAGTTCGAGCCCCGCGTCAGGCTCTGGGCTGATGGCTCAGAGCCTGGAGCCTGTTTCCGATTCTGTGTCTCCCTCTCTCTCTGCCCCTCCCCTGTTCATGCTCTGTCTCTCTCTGTCCCAAAAATAAATAAACGTTGAAGAAAAAAATTAAAAAAAAAAAAAAAGAAAGTGCCCATAACTGGCACTAGTGTGTTTTTTATCACTTCATAGCAACTATGGACAGTCCTCTACTTTTCCATACAAGAGTAAGCTTAGGAACGCTTTGCTTCATTCTAGGTCAGGCTGCTTGCAGATCTAGACCCTTTCCTCTGCTGCCTTATTGCCAGTTACATTAAATACAGTATATGACACTATACTGTAGTCAACATCCAGTGAAAGTGAAAGTCATCCTATACAATAACCCTCCTCTCTCTTGTCTCCCTCACACCAGTCACTAGGGTTTTCAAAGGTAAGTGCAGGTTAATTTGCTTATTTTTCTTTATATTTTGTATTTTCTTTATTATTTTGTATTATATTACAGAATTGTAATCATTTTTATATGAATATTTTTGGGTTGTGGAACAAATCATCTGAGTTTCCATTACTTCTTATGGGGAAATTCGCTTTGATATACTCACGCTTTGGATTACAAGCGTATTCCCTGAATGAATTATGCTCAGAAACCAAGATTTTACTGTACTTACAAAGATGTGTTGAGGAGGAAGAATTTCCTCTGCTATTCAAGGTCCTTCTAGCTGGACTAAGAATCAAATGGATATGAGACGAATGACAGGAGAAAATCAAATTTAGTTTCATACATACAGGGAATCCACACAGGCATGAAATTCCTAAAGATACAAAGGGAAGAAAGATCATCAGCAGGAAGCTGAGGACATGTTTGGAAAACAATGCTTGCCTATTGTGCTGATAGATTTATTAGGTAGAGAGAAATCTCTGTTAATACCTGTTTTCCTGATGCAGGCAGTGGAGGAGGAGGTAAAGAGTTTTCCTGAATCTGTTGGGTTCTTTTGCTTTTAACTCAAAATAATGTTCATGCCAAAGTGGCCCATCTTGGGGCAGCCTGCCCTTGGCCCTGGCAGGTAACTCATCTAAATTTAATTTTTCATTATCCTTTTGCAGTGGATCTTCCAATGAAACTATTTTGAAATTTGGAAACTTTTTGCAGGCGTCTGCTTGCCAATTAAAACAGGTATCCCATTCTGTTTACTTTGGGAACCCTTACTTTCAAGTGTACTCCTTAGATGGCCTTACCTAATTGAAACGTTCTGCATCATGGCCATCATAATTCTATGTTGTTTTTATTAAAGTTTTACCATTTCTGTAGATAATCACAGCCCCCAGCACTATAGTTTTTAGACATAAAATAAGCAGTGTTCCAGAAGGTGACATGCTTGACTCTTCTGATTTAAGAATCCCATTAGCTAAGTGTTTGTTCACAGGACACAAGACAAACAAACATGGGCACCTTAATGCACCAGGAGTAAACAAAAGTTGTCACTGTGGACTGGCCAAGGGAAGGCTGTGCCCACCACTAGCAATTCCCACTGTGGACTAAACCAGCAGAATTCATTATGGAGACTGCAGACTGGAACTGGGGAAAGGAATAAACCAGGAAACCCCAGTAAATGGGGACTTCAGTGTGGAAGTTAAGAAGAAATCCCAATGTGGAATTGCAGACTGATCAAAGGGCTTAGGACTGGCACTCCATTAAAGCTTCCTATCTGTCTAGACCGACCTGTTGGCCATGGACTGGAAAGCCAATTAGGTCAGGAGCTCGAATGCAAAAACAGCAGAGCTTAACTGAGAGGGACTTACCAATGGCCCTCATAAGAAGCAAGACAGTGAACTCAGAAGTGTTCACAGAGCATTATACCTGTGTTTCTCATTGCTCCCAAATATAGTCAGAATTGTGCTTCAGATCCTGACTTTCCCCCAAATTTGTTAAAACAAAACAAAACAATTCAGCCGAGTATATTTGAAGATCTAACTAGCTTTATTAAATGATTCATGAATCAGGCAGCATTCCATCTAGCAAATAGACGGGAGCTCCCTTGAGCTAAACAAGAGGCAGGTTTTGTAACTGAACCAACGTTAAGTTTGCTCCTTGGTGAATCAGAAATTGAACTGGGTTGAGTTGGCACACAAAAAAAAGATTTATTTGCAGCAAATAAGGACATTACAGGGAATGGCTTCCAATGCAGTGACTCTCCAAGCAAGGGTGAATGGATTCTCTTTATTTAGATTCAGGGTGAATACTTAGATTAGGAAGCCTCCCCTTTGTATGCAGAGGTAGTCATAAGGTCATGCACATGCCTTAGAGAAACATGCCTATACGTGCATTGTGTGTTATGTCAATGAGGTCTGTGCTCTTCCTTGGGCAGAGATTTTAGTATTATAATGAGGTAAAGGTAGTTTTTGGTCATTCTGGAGGTCACTCTATGGTCCTCCTGTGCAGGTGCAAGTCAGAAGTTAAGCTCAAACTGGTCTTGTTGGTCTGGGCTGGCTGGAGGTCTTGTCAGGGCAGTCACTATGGCCTGAGGAGTGCTTTTGGTTTTTATTTGTCTGAGTTAGGAGATAAGCTGGAAAGAAGAGCTTACGGAAAAATGTGGGACAAAGGTTGGTGAGTACAAGCAGGTGGGGAGTGAGGGTCAGGTCTTGGGGGTCTTGCAGGTAACAGTTTTTGAAGGGAGAGAGAAAGCATAAAAAAAAAAAAGAAAGAAAAAAGGAATTTATTACCAAGGAATGCATTGTTTAGGCAAGGTTGTCTTCCTAAGGGTAGTGGTAGGGGCCTATCAGTAAATTTTCTAGAATTGACCAGGAAATTCCGTGTTGGCTGGTGAATGGTTACATCCTTGGGGTGTTGCAATTATATACAGGTTAGGTGTTAAGTCTTGGTTTACTGACTTGGGGCCCTAAGTGATGCCATTTTGGGGCCTGTGGCTTTCTTTTTAACATTAGTTTCATTAAAAAGGATACATGGAAAGGATGCACAGGGCAAGGTATGGGGAAGGGGCACAGAGTTTCCATGCCCTCTCTGAGCGTGCTGCTCTCCCCATACTTCCATGTGCTCGCCAACCCCAAAGCTCTCCAAACCCCTTCATTACATAGGCACCCATGATTAAATCATGGTTCTCTTGCATTGACCTCCCTTGGATCATCCGGAACAACTGGATTAGCTGCAACAACTGAACAGATAACCAATGAGGGAAGTAAATTATCCAAAGTTCTATCGAAAGCTGGTGGCAGTCCTGGGGTGATCCCTTAAATGGCACATTTGTTAGGTCTTTTGTGTACCAGGTATTGTGCTGGGTATTGCGTACATAGAGAAATGCAACAGGCAGTACCCACCCCATTCGGTCTTTGTTCTCCTCTCCTTTCTCCTGTTTCTGGTTCTTTCCACTTGGGCTGGGCAAGATGTGTTGCTGAGTTCCTTTTGGGGTTGGCTACCTGGGTTGCTGTCAGTGAAACCCCAGATGCTGGAGGTCTTATTCCAACACCAGGCAGTGGGATGTTACATATTCCCTCTCAGCGGGTAATCATCTCTATCCTTGCAGGTTTGGTTGGATGTCTGGTGGTATTAATCAAGATTTCTCTCTACTTTCTCTAAAAGTTTTGTTGCGATTGGGGAGGAAAGTGGCGCCTGGGTGGCTCAGTCAGTTAAGCGTCCAACTCTTGATGTGGACTCAAGTCATGATCTAACGATTTGTGAGTTCAAGCCCCTGGTCCCTACGGAGTCTGCTCAGGATTTTCTGTCCCTCCCCTGCTCATGCTCATTCTCTCCTCTCTCTCTCTCTGTCTCTCTCAAAATAAATAAATAAACTTAGGGGCGCCTGGGTGGCTCAGTCAGTTGAGTGGCCGACTTCAGCTCAAGTCATCATCTCACAGCCTGTAAGTTTGAGCCTCGCATCAGGCTCTGTGCTGACAGCTCAGAGCCTGGATCCTGCTTCAGATCTGTGTCTCCCTCTCTCTCTGCCCCTAACCCACTCACATTCTGTCTCTGTCTCTCTCAAAAGTAAATAAAAATTAAAAAAAAATTTTTTTTTAATAAATCAACTTAAAAAAATAAGTTTTGTTCAGGCCAAGGGCAGGCCACTCCAAAGTGTGCCACTTTGGCATATTATTTTAAATAAAAATTGCTTAAGAAACAGCCAATGCAAAAATAACAGTCTGACTCCTCCTTGTCGTGAGAAAACAAGACGGCAAATCTCTTGTGAAAAAGGTAGTCTCTCTGTGCCTGGAGGTAAATAGATTCTTATCACCAGAGACAGGACATTTAGAACCAAAAAGGCTGTTACTTTTTATTTAATTTACTACCGTAGTCCCTAAATTCTGTTTAGAATTCCTTACTCATTGAAGTTTCCAAAGTTATGTTTTCTTTGTCCTGTCAATTCCTCACCACAGATTTACTGCCCCTTTGTCTAAAAAGTTGAGAAACTGTCTGCCTTGGTAATTTCTTTAGGACTCAATTTCATTATTGGGACTCTGTATGCACGTATTAAAGCTTTGGCTCCCCCCCCACCCCGCTCCCCGTTAATCTGTCTCATGTTCATTTAATTCTTAGACCAGCTGGAAATCTTTGAAAGCAGAGGAGGTTGTTCCTCCCCTATGGTTGGCGTGGCCAGCTGGATCAACTTCCGCTGGATATTTGCTCCGAAGATTCTGCAGCTTTGAGGTCTTGGGAGATCTGACGTACAGCGGGCAGAAGGTAAGGTTTCTTACCTTGGAATCTGTGAGGTCTGGTGGAGTGAGAATGAGAGTGATGACAGCCTTTCTCTCTCTCTCTCTCTCTGTCTCTCTCTCTCTTTCTCTCTCTCAGATTAGATTAGTAAGAGAAAATATTTGTCGAACTAGTTTCTTTGGCTTAGTGACTCTCGGTAAAAATTTGGTAGAGTACTGTTTGGTTAGTGATCCCTTTCCTCCCAGAGGTGGTCTTTTTTCCCCCCCTTGGTCTGTGTCTTTTGTGTTATTTTTCTTAAAAGGGATTATCGTAGAGAAGAACTCAAGCATAGACCCTACCAGCCTGCTGTGCAAGCTGATCCCACTGAGTGATGAGTTCACAGTTTCTCATCAGACAGTGTCAGTTCGGACGTACTTTGCTGTGAATCCCCTGTGTAATCACCGGATGAGGGTTTTCCTTTCATATTGTTCTATGTGCTAAGAGCTTGGCTTTGTGACCAGTGAGAACATTCTCTCTGGCATTCGGAGGGTGCATTTACTGGGGTGCACTTCAGTGGCCAGTTGAATACAGTGGGGATCTGAGACACCCGCTGACGAGGAGCACTCTCTTTCTCCAGCTGTGCCAGCTCTCAGGGGAATTTGTCATGAGAAAATGTCTTATGTCTAGACCATAAGGACCTTTGTCCTCTCAACTTTCATTGCTTGTTAAGTGCTAGAAAAATCCTATTCTGGCAGCACCTGCCTGCTGACACACATTAGTGGGTCAGGAAGCTTTGCACCTTTGTGGGAGGCTGGAGACACAGGGTATACCACGCCATTCTTCCCTACTGTCCCCCAAGGCCTTTGCTTTCTTAGGCTATTCTTGAGAGTAGACTTTTGGATCATGGGAACTTCATCAACTATGCCCTCTCTAGGGATGCCTTTTGTATCTTTGGTTAAGCCATGAAAAGACTTACTGGTTTGAGTCACTATTAATAGTAAGATCTTACTCATCAATGACCAGAAGATGAATCTTTTAAATTAGCTAAATTAAAAAAAAAATCTTTATAGAGAGCTCTGAATTGTCTTATTAGTATAAGGCTAGCCTTAGGGACTCGCTTAACAAGACAAAGAACAGAAATTAAACTTTCCGCTCCGTACAAGATTTGTAGACAGCATTCCAGCTTCATCTCAAGTTCAAAGTATACAAGTTACTCATAAATGCTGAAAGCCAAAAAGTAAATTTAGCAGAAGCACCTGAGACAGACAGCAGGGCTTGCTTTGCTCTAATCAGGCTCTGCCACCTTTAGGCATTTCTATGCAATGACCCTGCCCCCAACAACCATAGAGAATTCATGTCCCTTGAACAGCAGCAGATCTTTTAAGTTATAATGCCCCTTTTCCTCCACTTTCAAAAGACCCTACCAGCTTGGATTAAGTCGGCTAAGCACCCAACTCTTGATCTCAGCTCAGGTCTTGATCTCATGGTCAGGAGTTCAAACCCTGCATGGAGCTCCACCCTGGGCATGAAACCTACTAATATTTCAAAGAAAAGATCCTACCAAATGTAGAGGAATTGGCTTAATGGCTAGTCACAGCCTCACTCACAGAGAACTTGACTGGTTGCTAAGGGAAGTTTCTTTCAGCTCATGATTATATATATGGTTATTAGGCATGACAGAAGGCCCCCTGAAACTCTGCCCCCCTTCACAGAGGAAGCAGAAGACCAAAATTTCTCCTAGGCCGTCCTTCAATTAATCAGTGGAAGGCTGATTCTCAAGGCTTAATTTAATAAAAGCTCAAGGTTAAATTTTGTACTTAGGGGGAAAAAAAGGCTTTTATTAGAGTGCTTTATATAGAGTTTACACAGGCATAAAGGTTTTGATTCCTATTTTAGTTAATCATCTCCCTGGTATAAATATATAATGTTTAGCTAAAAAGGCAGGATGGGCGTCTGGGTGGCTCAGTTGGTTGAGCATCTAACTTCAGCTCAGGGTGTGATCTCACAGTTCATGAGTTTGAGTCCTGCTTCTTTCTCTCTCCCTCTCTGTCTTCTCCTTCTTTCTCTGCCCATCGTGGGATTCTCCCTCTCTCTCTCTCCCTCTCTCTCTCTCTGCCCCTCACTCATTTGTGCTGTCTCTCTCTCTCAATCTCTCAAAAAAAAAAAAAAAAAAAAAAGACAGGTCAATCCCTTGATATTCAGGGTGCAATCCAAATCTTTGGGGGAATTAAAAACAAGTGTCTTTATCTTATAAATCTCTACAAAACTCTAAAAGCAAGTCAAACCCACCGATCTTTACTAATCTCAAAATCTTTCCTATTCCTCTCAAAATGCTTATAGATATTATAAAAGATCAGGATATTGGAGCAAAATTGTCCTAAGAACAGAAATAAATTTTAAATAGCAATTAGCCCACATTTCTTTAAAAAACAAAACAAAACAAAACAAAACAAAACAAACTTGCATTCTTCCTCTGTTCCTTAAAATTATAAATTTTTATCATACCTTTGAAATGTAAACACAGCCCACAATTGCCTGAGACTGAAGGAAAAAGGCAGAGAAGAGAAAAGGTCTTTTAAAAATACAAACTACTAAAATGCCTCTTGTGCCCAGGCTCTAACATCTCTGATAAGAGAACAATATGTCCCCAAAAGTCCACGTTGGAGAAAACTTGGATACTTTCTCTATGTCTTTGTGATATCAATTTTCTACCGAAAAGCCATCCTTTGAAATACAAACTCTAAAAAAAAAAGTTCCACATCAGAAGGAAGACAGAGAGAGAGAGAAAAGGTATGTCAAAATCAGACCCATGATGTTCTCTCCACAAAACAAAAACGATAAGATCTTTGTTTACATCTGTAAGTATGTTTGTATGTATGTCCATACTGTTAAATCACGAAAACCCAACAGAGTAAATTTTAAAGATCTAATCGGCGTTATTAATCAATTCATGAATTGGGAGCGTCCCATCTAACAATTAGAAAGGAACTCCAGAGTGCTACAGAAAAGGAACTGTTTTTGAAAGTAGAGGTGGAGTGGAAAAGGATAGTTTTTAGCAAAGCATCCATTGTTGTAGGCTGTGTTGCCCTCCTAAGGGAAATGGAAGAGGTCTATCAATAAACTTCTTGTGCTGACCAGGAAATTCCATGTTGACTGGTTAAAGGTTGCATTCCTGAGGAATTGAAATTGCAGTTAGTTCAGGTATTTAGTCGTGGTTTACTGACTTGGAGCCTTAACCTAAGTAATTCCATTTTAGGCCTGTGGTTTTCCTTTTAACAACACATATGTTGTAAGTGTGAGATTTTTTCCCTACATCTGGATGGTATTACTAAAATTAATTTGTAAAAGAGCCCTATTTAGTTGGTTTAAAGGCAAGCGCTTATTTTCAAGTTCATATGATCTGGGAAAATATTCAGTGTTAAAGGTAATTTAAGGTGGTTGGTTTAATTAAAATAGACATGTTTTAAAATTATCACCATTAAAACTAAAACTTTTATTCTGCCTCAGTTTAGTTCAAGTCAAATAAGTGGATACTACCTCTGTTGTAAAATGTTTTAAAAATATAATTAGCTTGGGAAGATTTTCATGTCTCATGTAGTTTTTTATTGGTAACCTACGCATGACTGTTAAGAACAAGTAAATTGGAAAATAGACTGGAAGATGGCGGCGTAGGAGGACGCTGGGCTCACCGCGCGGCCTGCTGATCACTTAGATTCCACCCACACCTGCCTAAATAACCCAGAAAACCACCAGAGGATTAGCAGAACGGAGTCGCCGGAGCCAAGCGCAGACGAGAGGCCCACGGAAGAGGGTAGGAAGGGCGGCGAGGCGGTGCGCGCTCCACGGACTGGCGGGAGGGAGCCGGGGCGGAGGGGCAGCCTGCCTGCCAAGCAGAGCCCCCGAGTCTGGCTTGCAAAAGCGGAGGGGCCTGATGGACTGTGTTCCGGCAGCAAGCGCGACTTAGCATCTGGGAGGTCATAAGTTAACAGCTATGCTCAGAAGGCGGGAAGGCTGGAGGACAAAGGGAGGGAGAGCTGCTGAGCCTCCGGACGACAGAGCTCAGTTTGGTGGGGAACAAAGGCGCTCGCCAGCGTCATCTCCCCCGCCCATCCCCCAGCCAAAATCCCAAAGAGAACCAGTTCCTGCCAGGGAACTTGCTCGCTCCGCGCAAACACCCAACTCTGCGCTTCTGCGGAGCCAAACCTCCGGCAGTGGATCTGACTCCCTCCTGCAGCCACAGGGCCCCTCCTGAAGTGGATCACCTAAGGAGAAGCAAGCTAAGCCTGCCCCTCCTGCCCCTGTGCACCTTGCCTACCCACCCCAGCTAAGACGCTAGATCCCCAGCATCACAAGCCTGGCAGTGTGCAAGTAGCCCAGACAGGCCACCCCACCCCACAGTGAATCCCGCCCCTAGGAGAGGGGAAGAGAAGGCACGCACCAGTCTGACTGTGGCCCCAGCGGTGGGCTGGGGGCAGACATCAGGTCTGACTGCGGCTCCGCCCACCAACTCCAGTTATACACCACAGCACAGGGGAAGTGCCCTGCAGGTCCTCACCACGCCAGGGACTATCCAAAATGACCAAGCGGAGATTTAGACGAATCTCCAGGAAATAACAACAGCTAATGAGCTGATCAAAAAGGATTTAAATAATATAACAGAAAGTGAATTTAGAATAATAGTCATAAAATTAATCTCTGGGCTTGAAAACAGTATAGCTGACAGCAGAGAATCTCTTGCTACAGAGATCAAGGGACTAAGGAACAGTCATGAGGAGCTGAAAAACGCTTTAAACGAAATGCATAACAAAATGGAAACCACCACGGCTCGGATTGAAGAGGCAGAGGAGAGAATAGGTGAACTAGAAGATAAAGTTCTGGAAAAAGAGGAAGCTGAGAAAAAGAGAGATAAAAAAATCCAGGAGTATGAGGGGAAAATTAGAGAACTGAGTGATACACTAAAAAGAAATAATATACGCATAATTGGTATCCCAGAGGAGGAAGAGAGAGGGAAAGGTGCTGAAGGGGTACTTGAAGAAATAATAGCTGAG